GAGAAGTTCAGTTTATATTATTCTTCAAAACATATTTCTTTATGTTATCTGCTGTAATGCATGTGCTGCTGAAGTGGCTCCAGACAGCACCACTCTCACATTGTGTTTTTTATGAGAGAATTAAACGACTTCCAGCACTCGTCATTACACAGAATTTAATGCAGCAAGTTTGTTATAATATTAGTCAGTCAGTGGAGTGCCATGACTGCCGCACCAAACCATTAACGCAGCTTCATATCAACAGGTCAGCCTCCAAGTCCAACTCATAAATATACCATTCTGCTGGTCACATATTTTCACAATGGGAACATGCCAGTCGGGACTTGTGGCATGTCTTCCATTCTTCAGCCTTTGACACGCTCCCGCTGTGCACAAAACACTTGTACACACAAAGCATTAAATCCACTGTTGGTTCCCACATGTGTCAGACGTGCTGTCGAGCGGCGGTGCTGAAGGATCTCAAGGAACACTTATTTTGCAGGGAGGGAAGAGAGGAGTCATTTGAGGTCAGCGAGGGGGAAATGTGTGAACAGTAAAACATTTCACCTTCCTGGAGGCTGAGTCAGAGCACTTCTATCCAAGCTGGGAGTGGGGCAGGAGTGAGACGATCTTGTGACATGACGGTTAAAGTTATGGCAGTGGACAGACCTGTGACACCCAATGGTACTGGAGGAATAAATTGGATTATTACCCTTCTGCTTCTATTTAGACACCAAAACGAACAACACTCCCTTTGAGAAAACAGCCAACAAGTCTGAGATGTGGGGATTATTGCTGTATTTGGGTGTAGGAGAGACATCCATATATATTTAGCGTAAGTTGTTAATGTCTGTACAGAGGAAACTCCATGGTTTGTTGTTTCTGTTGACTAATTTGTTAGTTTGGAGATTAAGTTTATTTGAACAAAAATTTGAGACCCCAGACATACTTTGGTATGCTCCTGCTAAGAATGTCTTTTAACATACAGCGCCAACTTTCCTCCGAGGCGTGCTATTTGAATTTAGTCTGGCAGTGGTTTGTAGTGATAAATCTATCATAAGGGAATTTCACAGAGCCACTTTCCCTCACAATTTCCCTATGAAATATCTCACGATACATTTGTGTTATGTAGGAATTCTTTCCTCTGTCAGGAAACGTGACAGGTAAAGCTTGCTAAATTTATCTCACTGGAGAGGAAGGTCCGTTTAAGATGAACTGATGAACTGTGAGGAAACGTGATGAGATAGCAGCTTGTCAAGAAAATGGAGCATCTAGTCGCTAAAGGGCCTCATATTTCCTTGAGGATTTAGTGGGGACTCAAGTACAATAAACACACATTGAATATTGGACTAAAAACCATCAGGTATATGTGACTCAATGGATGCAGTTTTAGCTGAATGTGTGAATACACAATTACGTGCTTAGACATACTGTATGGCATTGTGTTTACAGCTTGGTCTCCATTTGTCAAAAAATTAATCAGTGGTACTTTATGGGGACACAAATTTACAGACATGGAGGAGTATTTCTTTTTTCCATGCTGAAAAAGAACTTTTAATCTTGTTACTTGAAAGGTTAACCGCAACCAGGTCATGTTTGAGCGTGGCTAAAATCTGTTTAAACTGAACCACTTTCAAACAATAGAAGTGATTGCTTGTGTCCTATTTCTCTGCTTCTTCTGCTGCATTACCTTTTAAAATCCCTCATAATTCCTGTTACACGCTCTCCTTATTCATAATTTCACACATGCACTACAACCCTGAGCTTATCGAGATGTTGCCCGGAAGAACTGAAGAAGAAAACGCAAATGTGTGAACCAGTTAAAACAATTTTACCCTGCCAGTTCCCTGGAGCCCATGTATGGATAGAGCAGGTCAATGTTATACTCACAACAAGTACGTGGGGTCCAGCTACCTAGACGCCATCCCTTGCCTGAACTGAGACGAGTGTTAGGCGAGAGCATTTCCTCTCGTGGGCCTCTAGTGAGAAAGGCCAACTATGGCTCTGACAAAGGGAGTTGCCTCGTTCATGATAACAGCTTCACTCACAAAGCTTGTGACAAAACTGGTGACTCCTGTTGCTGCTGCGCTCCTCCTTCGCTAAAACAAACACACAAAAAGTCACCTTTCCAGTTACATTTGCAATTTTGTCCCTGACTTTCTGTCTAAATGTTTATAATTTTCCGTTTGGAAGCTTTGTTTTTGTTTTGGTATATTTAGCCATCCCTCGTCCCGGGCTCAGTGCCCGCGTGACAGACAGTCTCTAATTAGCACAGCAGAAATACATATTTAGAGCTGTGCGGCTTTGGAGACTGCCTTTATTTAAGTCACCAGGGAGAACAATGGAGGAAACAATGGCTGCCTGCAGCAGGCAAGGTCTTCACAGCACCGACTCAGTGCAGATCTTTTCAGTGTGACGGTCCAGTTCAAATTGAGATACTGTAAAACAAGCTGCTCAATGCAGAAGCTAAACGCTTGTTTATTTTTCCTCCAGTGACAGGGAGTTGATTGTTGTGCTGCAGGGTTTTACACACTGTATGAATAGCTGTGGTACCATGTCTGGTAAGGATTTAGTTTAAGCAAATCATTCTGGCAACAGTATGTTGTGTAAATAAAAATAAATCATTGCTTAAATTATGACTTGTGGCTTATCGTAATGAAGACAAGTGTTTGCTCCCCCTAATCATGGGTGACAAGGGTGATTTAAAGAGTAATAATAGACATTTTGGGAACAAACTGTTTGTCTCACTGCAGCAGCGGTGATAAGAGGAAGATGTGTCCTAATGCTGTTTCGGGTTTGTTCCCTCCATAGAGGCAGGCTGCAGCAGGAGGTGGGGGCGCGGCTAACAGACATTACCCTTGGCCCCCTGCTGATCCCTTTATAAAGTATAACTTGAATCAAAGTCTCCACATGTTCACTCCTCTTGTGGTTCACAAATGAGTAAGCAGCAGGGAACTCTAATTCTGCTGCGCTGTAATTTGGCAAATTAATTCACATCAATTTTATGTTGTGAAAACTGAATGGAAGTAAATTATACACTCAGTGAAGGCTTAGATTTCACACTGAAATAAGAGTGTTTAAATAAAGACACAATGTGTCAGTGGCTGCACTTTTCTTCATGGAGGAGTTTCACACGAGTTTCCATCAGCTTTGGCTCACCACACCAAAAGAGACTTACCACATATCACTCATTATTATTATGTCATATATCTTTTTTTAATTTTCCTACAGGAGCTCAACAGGAGTCCATGAAACACTAGATCTAAAAATATAATCATGTTCTCTGCGGGTGTGGCAAGGAACACTGGAGTAAAGCAACGACTGCTAAACTCATTCATTGTAAACCTTGTGGTGATTGTGCCAAATAATCAAGATGAGTAAGTATTTGTCAGGGAGTCAGCAAAGGTTCATCCCTCGTGTTGTAATAAAGTACATCTATCTCGCTGCCTCAGATTTGCCTGCTGATGAGGTTTATTCTACTCTAGAAAGTGATTGGAAACACAAAGGAAGATAGCTGGTGGTAGAGCTCTTCACTGAGACAGATTTCTGGAAAGGCTACCCAAAACAGATGTGCATGAATTTTTAAAACTGTCTGAGACAGTAGTGACGCACATCAGAGCTTTGACATTTATGCTAACGTCAGCAGGCCCACAAAGAGGATGCCAACGATGTGATGCTGAGCATGTGTGTTAGCATGCTGATATGTGCTAGTCAAAACTAAACCCAAAGCTCAGAAGAAGCTGATGGGAAATAGATGGGGATTGTTTTGAAAAACGAAGACAAAGTTATGCAATTATCTCAAGGGAGATGCAAATGTGTGTATTGTGATGTGGCTTATGACTAAACCAGACCTGAGTTCTTCACCAAGTCCTGAGGATCTCCATCTGGAATTGTTTGGACGGCACATAGACTGAAGATAGACGACATGACAGCTCCCCAAAAGTGAAGTCAAAACATTTTGATCACCCCTGGTGGCTGGCTAAGGTACAGCTCATAAACAATGTTGCCTTAATCTTATTAGATGGGACATGGACCAAACTAAAACGTCAAAGTACAACTTATTAGGTAAGGTCAGTGCTATGGCAATCAATACTTATGCCTTTATTACAGTGCTACCTATTGGTGCAAAGTAGCAGGAATAAAAAATAGTGAAGACAACATTTACCAGATGTCATCATAACCCATCCAATAGTTGTTGAGACCTTTTCCAAAGACAAAACCCAAATGAAGCTAATGGATATAAAGGGATTACCAAAGTATGTAGGAATCATTGGGAACCATGGATTTTAGTATTAGATTGACTGAAAGCCAAAAAAGTCCTAGGGGCACAAGAGTGTAAATTCAAGGAACCACCATAGTATCAAGATTTATCCAAGAGCATGAATCTGTCAAGGCAATCAATCCAAAATATGATCAAACAATACTGGCAGCAGAATGAGGATCTGTCTTTTAATTAGCAGGTATGTATCAACACAACAACTCAATTGGACCCACCTAACATAACCTGGCCCAATTCTGTTCCAAGTCAGGTCTTAGCCTCAGGAAACCAAAAGGACCTTTGAAAACAGCTTGCTAGTCAACATTATTCTTGCTGGAAATCTTTGGTCTTGGCCCACCCACTTTACCTGCTGGTTGCAACAGTAACGTGTACAGTGAGGGTCTCTGGAGGGATTTGTCAAACACAAGATAATGTCCGCTCCCAACTAATGAAGAAAAGATTATGTGGTTTACAAAATCTTGAAGAATCAAGAGAATATGGTAATTTATGGTCAAATTAAAGAGAAGGTTAACATTCTCACTTGGAGAGAGTTTTAAGGGATGAACTCATTGGATCGTTCATCTTCCATCCTAGAGTGGAAATTTTTTCAAACAAAAGTTGTGTCATTTCCTTAACTGTTTATAATTACAGAATTAAAATTGAAATGGCACACTGAATTTGAAGTCATGTGTCTTTAAATAACTCAAACATCTTGCTCTCCATGTGTTTTCAACCCTGACTGAGAGAATTTGTCAGAGCTCACCTGCTCCCACGACTCTCCTATGTTTCCTGTCACGCAGCAGATGGTGATGCGGCCCAGATGTGTAGGTGTATACATGCTGTTAATTAGTCCCAAACTCTCTGATCTCTTTTCAAAGGCACTGACCCGCCACAGACACACTCTTTTTCTCTCTCTCTCTTGCCACGGCCCCCGACACTCATCCACTGACCAGCCACACACCCAAAGCAAATATTTGGTGAAAAAGCAATGAACCCTGTGATACAGACACTCATACAATCATACATTTGTATTACCACATCTGTGAGAACATTTAACTGATCATTCCTTTTGTCCAAACTGTAACCCTGAGGGTATTTTCACACCTGGAAGTCCAGACCATAGTCTGAACCAACGTTCATGTCTTTGTTACATTGTTTGCATTTGATCAGGTTAGTTTTGATTTCCCATTTCAATTCAGGGAGCGGACGAAAGACTTTTGTATGAGATACTTAAGTGCTGCGTCTACCTACATTACACTTGATATGATGAAATATGAATAAATGTTGTAAATGCAACTATGGTTCAGTTTGATCTGGACTAAGACCCGCGCTTTTGGTCGGATTCAATTTTGGTCCATGTGTCCGGCCAACATTGCTTAATACAAACAGATTTACATACTGATCCCTTTAAACTTGCATGTAAACTAGGATTGTCATCATGTCATCACAGAACCAACCGTTTTGTATCTGCTATGATGACTAATATAAATTCTAGCATTAGCACATATACCAGTCCACTACTTGCTCCAACTACTCATGAAATTCAGACTCATGGAAATTATTGATGCCTTAGAGTATTTCAGTCAAGGCCTGGAGTTAAAAAGATGATCTTTTTTAAAATCTAACAATGTCACGTAGTTCGGTGAGTTTAAAAAAGATGCTGAATTTCCTAGGCTTTTATCGCAGGTCTGTCATGTGTCCTGGGGACAGTAATATAAATCCAGTGGAGGGTTTTTAAGTTTCTAGCCCACATGTACCAGTATGCACACAAAAGTACTGTTGATGCCCAGAAATACTCACACAGAGCTCCACTCTCTGTTGTCATACTGTGGAGCTCTGGGTGCTTTTCTCTGGTAACTGGCATGTCCACTCGATGTGGTCCCTGTGTTTCCCTCCAACTGATTTTCTTCTCATCTCCAAAGGTCTGATCCTCCCTCCCAGCCATGCCATTGGCCCATTAAAACTATGCGTTCTGCCTTGGTTGGCTCAAAACCCTGTCGATTGAAAGTAAACGCTCAACCAGGTGCAGGTAATTAGTGATGAGAAAGTGCTCTCATGTCCAGCAGGAGGAAGTTAGGCTCATAAAATACACACTTAAAAGCCTGCAATAAAATTCATCACAGCAAAACATAAAAGAAATGTAAAATCATTAAAGAATCCTGCAATATAAAAAAATCAATCACAGAAAAAATATAAAAAATGTAAATGTAGAAGCACATAAAAACCAAACCAGAGTCTTTAAATCCTTTAAAACGACTCTGACAGAACTAATAATTCTGGTGTGTGACATTTCCCCAATGAAGACTTGGCTCACTGTCCCTGGAGATGCCTGCCAGTTGGACTTATTGGTATTAATACCACTTGAATGAGAACAGCTTGTTTGAGATCCTACAGGAAAGATGAGAAATTGGTTGGACCAGGCTCGCCTGTACAATGATCTAGGTGTTGAAAGAATGAAAAATACAACCAAATAAAATGGGTCAGTGCAAATTCTGGACACCACATTTCTATTACATCTTTTGCATTTATTTTTTTCCTGTGTTTTATTTGTGTTGGCTCTGCTGAATAAACTGACAAATACATAGAGAGGAATGTGAGAGTGAGAGAGAGCCAGCTGTGTTTGCAAATGTTGACTGGACTGAAAGATCATATGAATAACATTGTGTGACATCTCCGCTGACGAGAAGTTATTGCACATGTTTTCGATACCTCTTCTTTATAGTAATGATGTTTTATTTTTTATATGAATAGACATAAATGTTTCTGTTCGCTCGGTTTGACCTGACTCTGATGCGTTATGGTTGCATAGGAGATGCTGAATAGATTTCCTTGAGTATAAACTACATTGAAGAGTGATTCCCAAATACTCTTTACTTTTTTGGAAGCTAAATTAACTTTTTATCACCGTTCAAAGGACTTTACAGTACAAGTCACATTCCCCCACTAATACACAGATTCATACAGTGCGTTTTTTCACATATTATATACTGTCAGCACAGCTGTAAATGAAAATTTGGGGCTCAGTCCCTGAATGCAGACAAATCAATGGTTAATGGATGACCCTCTTCAACTTGCAGCCACAGCTGCACCGAAGCTAAAAACATGCATACTCTAGCCTGACTCTTGACAGCCTTGCTACCTCAGAAGAAGAAGAATATGTCTTCTGGTCACTCTATCCCACCACATTTACAAGTAATGATGCCTTTTTGGCTGGCTTGCTTACTTTTACCAGTGAGGCCTCATTCAGAACTCATTTGTAGTACAAACTACAGCTGAAATAAATGCTAAGCCAATTATAGAAACGTTACAATGGCTCTGAAAGAAAGTCTGAGAAAAGGAGTGAAAGATATTAAGAAAAGTGTAGGACCCCATAGACTAGGTCACATGCCATGTCATTGTAGTGGAAAACAAGATTTTAACAAATATATCGAAAAGAACCACAGACAAAAGTCAGAGGTTACAAAAATAAGGGCTGCACCTCCGGTTAATAAATTAATGCGGGAAGTGCAAAACTCTACACATTTAACATTCCTATTGGCAAGCATTGTTTTCTTTGTATGCTGTATGACGTTTTTCACAAAGCAGTATGAACGTTTTGGTATTTCTGGATGATGTGGTCATTTAGGGAACTGCAAGTGCCAGTTTGGGGTGGATAAAATAAAATACCTGGACGGCAATACAGCCACACCCTGAATAAATGAGAGCAATAACAAATATACCATCATTAAAGAAAAAAGGTGGAGCTGCAACGTGTGCTAGACTTCGTTAAGTACATGAGATGATTAATTCCCAATATGACGTTGAACACAAGGGCATTGTGCAGCTTGCTGGAAAGTGGAGCTGGGTGGCAGAGGAAACATTAACATGTGATGGGAATGGGAAAAGTTTAAGAACAGCTGTAGTTGGTAATAGAAAGATTTCATCCACCACAAACAGAAGATTGTAGAACTTGAAAGAGGAACTAACTGGTTGGTGGTCAAATGCAAATTAGATTGTCATATGGATTGTCATATGGATTGTCCATGCGCTGAGTTGAAGTGCAACAGATATGACGTTTTGGCCACACATGAACAGAAACATTGAGTTACGTCTGCAGTGCTGCAAGTCATGTCAGCTACCAATAACCATGGGAGCCTCTTAAAATGGTCCCACACTACAGGATCATTGATTTGGGTCCCATTTACCCATGTTGCCAGTCCAAGTCTGAATTGAACAGATTATTTGACCAATGATCCTGTAGTTTGAGGAGTTAACAAATAATCTCCTCATTGTTTAATCGTAAATATGATGTTAATGGTAAAAAATCAGCGAGACTCAAACACAGTGGTTTAGTAGAGCAATTGGCCAAGTGAGCAGAGACCTGGAATCAACGACGAGAGCAAGTTGACCAGGAAGTGTTTGCAACCGGATGTTGTGTACTTGATTGAAATTGAAAAATGGCTTCCTTTATTGTAAATAGGGCTTTTGTTTCCCGTACCAGGTGGACAGTAGAAAAGGGAGGCAAAATTGTGGAATTGTGGTAATAATATGAGTGTTTGTTTGAGGTGTCCTGTTATTTGTGCTAAACATTGCACAAACAAGTGTAACCAGCCTTTGAGACCATCACTCAGCCTCAATGTTTGTAAAATTCAGAATTCATGCAAGTTTCTGAATTTTCCAAGTTTCTGGAATCGCTACTCTGAAGTGGTTTGTGTTGTTTGCACCTTGACTGGATCATCTTATGTCTGCGTTCTCACAATTAACATATCAAAAATGGTTGAAAAATTGTGTAGTGTGCAGCAGGCATTGTGCCCTACCTGTTGAACCATTGAGAAAAGTGGGAACAGAACACTGGGAACACTTCCGGCTGGCAGGGAGAGACTACCTTGTCATCATGGACGACCAGTCAAACTATCCAGAGATTGGCCTGCTGTGTGAAACAAGTGATGAAACAAACTACGGCCAATTTCACGAGATGTGAATCACTCAGTCTGTGGTGAGTGACAATGAACCGGGCAGGGGAGCATATTTTCCAGAGACATATGGATTTGAACATGTAACATCAAGTCAGCTGTTTCCACAGTCAAACGCCTTGGCCCAGAAAAGAGAGCACCGATCGTAAAACAACTGTCAAAGAATGCAACAGAGATTTAAAGAGATCCCTATTTAGCTCTGCTAAATTACAGAGCATCACCTCTGCAGTGTGAACAATCTCCTGCTGAACTCCTCATGCTCACTTGCTTGAGAGGAGGGGTGGACATTATAAATCTTACAGACAGAGCTCAGCCTCCAATGGGACAGACAAACAGTTATGTCCGCTGTGGCCAGAAGACGTGGGACACTTTGGACATGATGGCAAATGGACACTTTTTGTCGATGTTGGGATAAAACAAAGTAAATGTACTTAGTTTTTAGGTAATAACATTGTTGTCTGTATTTACCGAGATTTAATTTCGGTAACTTTTAACTTTCTCCATTACATATCACAAAAATGATATAAAACACTGTAGCATTAGGGAATAGGCTGCACTTAACTTGTAATACTTGAACTAGATTTTAAAGCAAGTACTTTTACTCAAGTACAAAAGTTATTACTTTGACTTTTAAACTAAAGGTTTGAGTACTTCCTCCACCTTTGTCTTTTGTTGAGGTAATAAAAGATCCTATGAGATGCTTCGTACAGCAACACACACTGAAGCTGCCATTTCTTAAAAGGAAACAATCACTGTTGGACTGAGAGAGCAGACAAGTGCAGAGCTCAGTTCCACTGACAACTTGCTCAACACAATTGATCACTTCCTTTGTGAGAGATGTTGAGCAGTAAAGTGAGAATTCAAAACGTTTTCAAATCATCATTTC